CCATTTAACATCTTACTCAACATGACTCTCCTAATTGAATGCAACTGTAATTGCGATAATTATCTTATCGCATTTACATCTGTCTAATGGACCGTTTTCGTCCTAACACAATCCGACAACTGATGACAATGTAATAAATTTATAATTTGTTACTAATTACAAATAACACATAAATAAATCTATTCAATTATATTATAAAAAAATTATATCGTGGCATTTAGGTTTGTTTCTTTTTTTCAATGTGTAACCTTTAAAGAACAAAATGTGATTAAAAGAAAAATTTTTATGTGCTATTCAAGAAGTGTTTCAGCATGAAATTGATCATTTATTATTGCTATGGCTGTGTTAAATATTTGAACCACACCCGTAATATAAACCATACACCCGTAGACCCGATACTTTAATTATTAGTTTATTAATTACCACAAAAGTAATTAACCCCGTTGGATTTTACAACAAATTAATAGCCTAAGACAATGCAGCAAGTTTTTATTTGTGGCAATAGATCACAAAAAAGTAGGTAATCATTTCAAAACGACTTCCACTCCTTTCGTTGGATGTTACAACAATGAGGTAGAGAAAAAAGTACGTCACCCAAAAATAAAAATGCTTTATGTTTCGTCTAGTATTATAAAATATGTAATAAGCGTGAAAGATATGTTTGAAAAGAAGTCGTCGTTTTAAAAAAGGAGAAGATCGTGTTGGAGTTGCCACAACCTGCATTGAATCCCATGTGTGACCAAGCAACTCAATAGACGCTTTTACATTCGTGTTCTCTGTAAAAGGAAGGTCGTTAAATAATAAATGGTACATACACACCGGAAAGTTTTATGGGGTCTTTAAATAAACACACTGAATTCGTGAATTGGCATAAAGTAGTTTCTTTTTTCTTTTAAATACTTAAACTTTACGAATCTACACAAGACTTTTGAGGCTATTTAAATACCTAAAATCCTTTAGGTAATTTTTAGTTTTCATTCGACAATCGAATAGCCATTAAAAAAATGTCATCAAAGCTTTACTAATCAAATGTTATGTTTTGCAGTAGCTATAGTTGAAAGATAGTTGAGATATAGTTGAGATTTTGAAACAGGGAAATACAGAGTTTACTGTTATTCAGGTAGGACTCACAATTGCAACCTCTTGATGTCTCTATAAATAAACCATTTAAACTGTATATGAGAGAGGAATGGAACAAATGGATGATGGATGAAATCCAACATGAATTCACGCCGAAGGGGGAGACAGTCGTTGTCTAGTGACATAAGTAACAAGTGTGACATAAGTAACAGTCTCGATGGCAGTGAAGACCATCTTACATATGAAGAGGACAACGATGACGACGAAGATGAAGAAGAAAGTTTATATGACGATTTTCAGGGATTTTAAAGGTCAGTTGTGTTTTATAAACTAAGAATTTTTCTAGACTGTCTATACAATCTAATAAAAATGGTAGTAATATTATTTTGTTTTTAAATTGCTTAGAAATTAAGGTGCGTCTTATAGTCTTATAGTCCGTAAAATACAGTAACAAACCAATATTAAATATATCAGATATCAGGCGATTAAAATATTTATGTGAATAAAAACCTTTGCTTTTCAGAAGGGTGGAATTTTCTTTATTTTCGGCTCAACCGGTTTCGACTATTCTTTTTTAGTCATCTTCAGGAACAATAGCCTCGTCGGTTTCACTCTTAATTTTCATAATCTGAATTCATCTTTTCTTTCATTTACGTTTTTTTGAATTCTTTGTTATTAAATGATGTTAAATTTGTTTCTAATTTTATGTTTTTTCCTATTTTCTATATCTATTAATCTAAGATTAAGATTAAGATTAAGGATTCTAAGATTGACGTGATATAGAAAATAGGAAAAAACATAAAATTAGAAACAAATTTAACATCATTTAATAACAAAGAATTCAAGAAAACGTAAATGAAAGAAAAGATGAATTCAGATTATGAAAATTAAGAGTGAAACCGACGTGGCTATTTTTCCTGACGATAACTAAAAAAGAATAGTCGAAACCGGTTGAGCCGAAAATAAAGAAAATTCCACCCTTCTGAAAAGCAAAGTTTTTTATTCACATAAATATTCTAACAAGATCGGAAGTAATAATGTTAATGGTTAAAATAGTGTTTGTACACTTCTTGACCAAACTTCCATTAGATTCTTAAACTTACCCAGTGCTGATATTATTGGAAGAATTGTGTACCAGTGAGTTGGTGCATTTATAGCTTGAACAACTGATTCAATTTTCTGTGTCAGTCTGAAACTCAGTGAATGGGGGACATTCATGTATTTGTTCTATATGAACAAGTTTTGAATACTTTCGGGAAGCTATGAAATTCTGCAGATTGATATATCCATTTGCAAAACTACGGAGTTTATAATAATAATGCCTTTATTTCCCACCTGTAATAATATACGACAACATAATATATCACACTTCCACTAGACGAACTAATACTAAACAAGTGGGAAATCCCAAGGTGCAGTTCAACCGCTGAATGCCACTGACATGCAGCGGTTGCTCTTCCACTGAAACCTTGAAATCCAAAATTAAATTAATACCAAAAATTTTCTTTAAATTAATCCGAAATTAAATCAACAAAGCAAAAAGAAAAACAGAACAAAAAATGTCCTCGTCCTACTCTTGCATTGACTGCGGGTTCACATGTGCATGGATCCATTGAATAAAAAACAGATTAGTAAGTAAACAACAAAAAATAAAACAAAAGAAGTAATATTAGTCCTGCGACAGAAACGTAGTAGAGAAAAAATGCTTTCTGAATGCCGGGATGGACAGTGATCTCGTCCAAGGCGGAATGCGGTTATAGACTTTCGATATATTGTAACTATATGACCGTTCAAAAAGCGCAGTCCGATGCTGCGGCATGGTAAGCAAACCCCGATTGCGGATATTAATATTATGAACATCCGTTCGAAAAGTTAATTTTTCGTAAAGATAGGGTGGCGTCTTATTCAGAACCACTTTGTGGAACAAGGAGGTTGCATGATACTGGCGTCTATTGGCCATATTAAGCCATCCGAGGTCAGCAAGTTTGTGAGAAATATGTTGGTGTCTACGAATCCCAAATATCAAGCGCATACAATTATTCTGGGCCATTTGAATTCGCTTGGCATCCCGCCCATCAACACACGGACCGTAGACTACATCGGCATAATCGAAATGAGACAACACTAGAGTATTTAACAACAGCTTTTTACTGTTGGTAGGCAACATTTTCCTGCTTGCATATATATTTTTTAAGTTCATATAAGCTTTTTTCATACAATTACTAATGTGTTGTCTAAATCTTAGGTCCGTATCGATTTGTAATCCCAGATTTCTGGCTGACTCAACACGATTTAAGGTGACACCACTAACCTCAACTCTAAAATCATTTAAAGTTTCCTTACCCCTAATTCCACCGAATATCATATAAGTCGACTTTGCGGAATTGAGTTTTAAGCCATGGCCCCCACTCTCCCTCACCAAATTCTCCAGATCCCCTATCAATACATCATTAGCCGCTGCAGCCTCCGACACAGGAAAATCAATGTAGATTTGTGTATCATCAGCGAAACAATGCATTTTACAGTTCCTCACCGAGGACTGCAAGTTAAACGTGTAAATAATAAACAATAGTGGCCCCAATATGGATCCCTGAGGAACTCCAGAAGGAACCGGAAGGGGATCCGAGTATTCGTTGCCCAACCGAACCAACTGACGGCGACCAAACAGGTAACTCCTCAAAAGATCCACAGAACAATTTTCGAAACCAATATGACCCAAAATGGACAGCAGTAACTCGTGATTAATAGTGTCAAAAGCTTTACTGTAGTCAAGCAAAACCAATGCACACATCCTACCCCTATCAATTGCCGAGATTATATCATCCAACACATTCAACAGTAACGTAGTACAACTATACCCCTCTCTAAACCCTGATTGCTGTTTTGGTAGAATAGAATTTTGAGTCAAATACTCTTTAATTTGCCTGGCCAGTATCTTTTCAAAAATCTTGGATAAAGTAGGAAGGATGCTGATCGGCCGCAGGTGAGAAAACTCAGCTGGATTGCCATTTTTTGGGATTGGAGTCACGAGAGAGTAATCATATTGGAATTAGTAGATTCCAAAAATCGTTCTATCTAATACATACTCAGAAATAGCTACTAATTAGCTTTCTCTCTTTGTTACTTCAGTTTCCAAATATTGTTCCTAACAATATTATAGATAGAGCTGTAAAGATTTCATCTTTCTATTCTACTCTTCTGATGTGCATGGCCAAATTTCTTCTTGTAAATATTCTTGAAGATGTTCTGGTAAAATTGAACTATCTATATTCACAAATTCTCTCGAGTGTGGTTAAATAACTGTAGAAACACCAAAGTTGAATCTGCTTCTGCTCCAACCGTACTATCTTCCTGACTTATGTAACTCTAATTTCTCGACGATTTAACACGGTGCCTTATTTGCTAGCTACATTGAATGTTCATATTAAAAAATAATAACGTACACTTCGTTTATTTCTTATTTCCGTATGCTAATCAAAACCATATGCATTTTAGATTAGTTATTTTTAATTTGTAGCTCACATATAGAATTATTATGATTATTATTGTATAAAATTAAAATATAAAACATATGATTTTAATAGATTTTTAGTATGCAGTCGCATCCTATTTGATAACTCAACGTTTTTAGAAGATAATAATAAAGTTATATGTCCTGTAATATCGGGCATGTTAAAAAAATATCATGCATAATGGAAATAAATCAAGACTGCATTCAAATAAACAATGTGTTAGTATCTAAATGTTGTAGCTTTTTGAAACGACGTTTTTATAAAACGAAAATTATAGTAAATGAATTATTATTTACAAAGCAAGAACCCGAATCCTGGTTAAGCAATTTTACATCACCCTACGCAAATTATAAACGTTATTTTGTTTAATCTTTTTATTATTTTATAATAAGTTTGATTTTTTACAATTTAAGATGATTCATAGGGTAGATTAGTACCTTTTATATTCTCCAAGATCCATTTATCTAATTTATCAACCATATCTTGGTTTAATTCGTTTTTATTAGTATGCGGTGTTTGGCCAATACCTTCCTTTTTAACAGCTTTATTGAGTTTCCTCTCATAAAAACCAAGATATTCGAGAAGTTCTTTAGTTTCCGATTCGTTGTAACTTTTTCCAAGAAATTTTGATACTTTATTAACAACTCCTTTTGTATCTAATTTGATTTCTTCGCACGTCAAAAACAGTATGTTTGGTAAGTTTCGTTGATTCCAGTAGCTTAAAACAACGTTAAAGTAATCGCCACCCAATACTAAAAGTAATTTTAAAAAAATGAATTTTAAACTTAATTAAAAATTGGTTTGAAAAATATGTTGTTAAAATACCTTTTCCATTAATATACAAATCCACAAAAGTGTTCAACTCGCCTTTATATATTGGGAAAGATTTAGTACAATGAAGATAATAAGATCTTACCACTTTTTTTGGGTCCCTCATTACGTGGATAATCTGCGTAAAATTAATTATAAATTTTATAAGTTTACTAAAAAGATTCCACAAACCTTCGGCGTTTTAAAACCTTCTGTAATTTGCCTCGGCAATAAATACCAAGGAAGATTGGTTTTAATACATCTTTGCCCACTGGTTTGATTTAATCTTTTTATTTCGTCAGATACATTAAACGATTTTAACTGTTCATCATTAAATATCTTATTCTTTTGGCAAAATTCTATTAAATGTTTAGACAAACAGTTAATTCTAGAAACATTTGTAAATAATCAATTATTTATATTACGTGAAAGTATACTCAATCATTGGAAAAAGAAGATCTATATCAACATCACAAACTAAGTCGTAGCATAAATCTTCAGCAATTAACCATATCATTTCTTGAATCGATAAAGTAACTAAAATAATATTGATTAGGATTACTTCAAAAATTCTTATTAATGACTAAATTATTTTATAACGAACATGCTGAAGCTTAGTTATGAAATTAAGAAAAATTTGTATGCGATTTTTTTTGCATAAAAAGATGGATTCATGAACATTTAATGTTCTGTTTTCCCAAATAATTTCGTTATTGAAATAACTTACCTGATGCAGGATAAGAAGTAAGCCAAATATCTTTATCTCTAACTTCGAAATGTTCGATTTTTTCTTTAATTAAACGAAAATCAGGGGGCATACGACACCCATCAAAATTTTCCAAATCAATACTAGAATATTGTTTATCACAATCCATTCTTTTTGAATTTTTTCTAAGATATCTTGTTGAAATGAATTTGTTATACTATATAAGTAAGGTTTCGATATCTGGCTCTTAATCTACATCTATACTCCCTAATCTTAATTACACGATAAGTCATTAATTTATATTATAAGATTAAAGAAATATGCACTGCGAGGTAAACAGAAAATGTATGGAATTAATTAATTTAAAGATAAATTTTCTATTTTATTTAGGATTTGGATTATTCGAATAAAACATAATTAATATTTTCGTTAATGAAATAACTGAATCCTCTAATAGATCTCCTTAATATACAAGTTGTGAACTAAACCACAAAAATCACTGCTGTTTATAAAGTAAGTAAATTTATCAGGCAAATTTTACATGTGGGTTGGGTTGAGTTGGACAATTGTCTTAACCAATCCTAAAGGATGATTTAATAAATACTAAAATTAAAACAAGTTAGGTCAATAATCTCCCTCTAACCAGAATGTTCAACTCCTTGAGTAATCAAGACATGTTCTAAAAGTATCAAAATTTGCTCCAAAGCAACTATATAGGGCTGTCCTAAATTTCCATGGACTAGCTACCACGTGTATATGATCCAAATTAAGTTGATTGAATATATCATAGTTGCTTCCTTAATGGCGGAGAGATGACTTAACAGTTCATAAGAGTTCATCAATTTTGTTGTTATTCAATAGAAGGTATATCCTGTCAAATTCATAAGCATGTGTAGTGATGCAAAATTACCGGTAATTTAAAAATCGGTAATATTACCGGTAATATTACGTAATATTACGGTAACCTTGGTAATTTGTAAAAAACTGCTTTTTAAGTAATACAAGTTTTTTTTATTTCAAAACTGTAAAAACATTACGAAAAACAACAAGTACGTTTTTTAAACTAGTCAAAGTCACAATGGACTATGTAATAGAGTGAATAATGGTAAATCATCCTCATCATCATCCGGATCATCCTCAACCTCGTCATCTGAATCTTCTTTCTCTTTCGTTAATTGAGTAAAGTCTATAACTTCGAAACCGATATCTTCTTTTTCTATTTCTTCTTCAGTAGCTTCTACTATTTTTGAATGATCGTCTTCAGTTAGTAAATTATAATTATGGGCAATATAAGTTCGTTTTCCGGCCCTCTCCACGGTAAGTCTGTTTCTTCTGTGTCAATGAATAAATCCGTAAGTACTAAAGGTTCTTTCGGTTGCGGCTGTTGACGATGGTAAATTTAAAATGTCTACAGCCAACCTACTTATTTTAGAACTGGAGCAAATTCCTGTCCACCAAACAGGTTCAGACATACATTTTTCGCTGGAAATAACGAATTCCTTAGCAAAATTATTACCTCTAATTTTGTACAGTGCGAGTGCTTCCATAATAAGATCTACTTGTGAAGAATACTTTGGATGACGCCTTGCAGTTTCATAGATGAACTCCGTTGCAATTAAATTTTCATCTTCAGTTAAATTGTCGCCGCGTTGATTTAGTTCTAATAGATAAGCAGCAAGATGAACGGGTTTTAAACATTTATTATTTTGTCGTTTTTCAAGAATTGAACACATTTTCTGGTATTCCAACATAGTAATAGATAAATTTGATACTTTGTCACATAATATAGATCTTATTTCAAAAAAGCAGATAAACACTTTTGAGATTGTTGGCCCGTTAGCTTCAAAAATCGTTATCCACTTAGTGATTGGCTGGAACAACTCATAAGTTGCTTCTATTTGTAACCAAAATTCGTTTTGGAGAAGAAGTCTTACTGTATTTGATGAAAGAACATCAGAATATACAACAGAAGAATATCTGGGCTATCAACAACTGCTAAACTTTTTAATGAATGTTTAGTGTCTTGTTTTCACCGGCAATTTTAAAGAAATGTATCGCCCCGTTTTGTCCAACTGGATTTTTTCAAACGTTGCATGTAAAATCTGCGGATTTTTCAGCTCAGATACAATTGAAATTATGTTCTTTTTAAAATTGGAAAAATGGTCTAATTTCAAGAAGTCTTCAACCAGAAGGTTTAGACCGTGGCAAATACAACCATAATTAGTAATGTAATCGTACTTGCTGCTAACTATTTCACGAGCCTTTTTTATGTCAGTGACAATAGCTAAAAAATTTGAAGCTCCTAATTCTTTCAACACTTTTTCAATTTGTGAGGCCAAAAATGTTGCTAAATGTCTGTTATTTTCGGTGTGTATTGATTTGTAAAATACCGGAAGATGTGTATTAATAACAAAATTAGATATGGAGTCATTTCTGCAATTTGACCATCCATCCATTTGTAGGCTTAAGATAGGTGCTTCACTAATTTTTGAAGAAACTGCAGCTTTTACTCTAGTGTACTCGGATTCGAGGAGTGGATTTGACAACTGGTAATGAGAGGGTGGTTTATATGCGCATCTCATTGCTTTGAATACATCTAACCATACTTTTTTCGTTGTCATATCTAAGGGGGTTCCTGAGACATAAATAGCCCTTGCGAGTATTTCATCAATCTTATTGTTTTCTTGAGAAGACATGTTATCAAAATACGAAGAAATTGTACCCTTTGATGATTTGGTAGTACTTGAAAATGAAAAACTAGCTGATGAAGGCACAGGCCTCACTAGTGAAGCAATTTCTGAGTCTAAAGATTCTCCCTGCCCCTGCTGAGAGGTAGTATCAGTATCATCAGCATCACTATCTTCTAATACCTCGGTTGAACTTGGCGTAGTGTTATTGTTACTACTGGAAACATTTATTATAGGCAATTTCCCTTTTTTAAGAATTTGTACTACATTTTCAGGTATTTTGACACATTTTAGCAAATGTTGGAATTGTCTGGTAGCATTTCTTTTTACAATATTTACAGAAATAGTTGTCTTTATCTTTAAGATCGTAGTACCTCCAAACATCACTCTTCGGCTTAACCATATTATCGCAACTACAAAATAAACATCATGCATTTCGGGAAGAGCTCAACTTAAAAATATCTAGACTTACCAGTTCAAATATCACATAACAAGGCAAAACAATTACAGTTATTTAATAGGAATTGCACTGATAGTTATAAACAACACCTTTTATAACAGTAATGTCACTAATTATGATGAAGATTGTTTACAAAATATCGCTTGCCACGGGCCACGGGGACCATGGAATTATCACAAGTTAGATTTCGGGTATTCCCCGATCGATATGTGCGGCCGCGCGGCGCCAGTGACGCCATGTACAGCTGGGCAAATAAATGAGAGTATAGAGCGGAAAAAAAACAATATTTCCAATGTTACCGATCTTGCGGTAATATTACGTAATATTACCAAAATTACCGATAACATTTCCTCGGTAATATTACCCTTTACATCACTAAGCTTGTGTAAGGAGTGTCACAACAAATAGAAATTTGTTACGCAGTTGTCAAATTTGGCAAAATAGAAAGACAATAATAAAAAAAAATTAATCTAATTGTTAATACTAGCACAAAAATATGAACAAGACAAATTTCCTTATTGCAACGGCTTTCCCTCGGTAGTAACTTCTCTTCACCGAAAATCTCACTTCTGATCTCTATTCTTCTTCTTCTCCTCTGGTTTTTTACTCTTGTTGTCTACGTCTAGTCTCTGGTTTCTGGCCTGCTCTACATCTAATCTCTCTTCTTGACTGAACCGGACTAGACTACGAACTACCGCCGAACTGAACTACCTTGGAAAAACTCTGAAACTTTGAACTTCTTCCACAAAACCGCCTCTCTGAACTGCAATGGAGAAAATTTTGAACTCATTCTGCCGAACTCCTCAGTCTTTTCTAAGGTCTGAGATATTAAACCCTACGCTTCGAACACTCTTTACCTAAATAATTTACAGTAGGGCAGAAATTATGCAGAGGGCATCATGCATTCTCAAAGTAATGAAAACAGATAAAAAATCAATCAATAAAATTAACCAAAGTCGCGGTTCACTACACATGGTTGTGTTTGGAACCACCGAACAAGAAAATGCTGTGGATTGCATTGCCAAGAAAAAAAAATTTCTGGTTTTACTTACTATTAATTTGAAGTATAAGATCAAGACTGTTAGAGCGACGTATAAAAAACAATATTCATTGGTTTGCAAAACAATATACAGTGGAATGGGAACTGAATTGTACATGCCAAAATAGTGTCGTCATCTCGGATTCAGTTGCCAAGGCGCAGCATGATGTCCAGAAAAATATTCGGCATACTCATTACGCATATTAGACGCTAATGTTGTGTAATTGCTAAATCATAAATTAACTTGCAAACTAACTACCGTTGGCTTCAGTACTTTGTGTTCATCAAGAACCTAAAAATATAGTAAAAGAATATGTCAAAATAGTAAAAGCAATAGTTTGCGTCAAAACACGCAAACATAATTAAGCTGTATATGCTTATAGATTTGTAACTAAAACACTGTTATCCATTATGAAGGTATTTCGTATTACAATGTTTTCCATGTTACGTATGACAAAAGTTAGGAAAATTCCATTGAAAGTATTTTACCCTGTGAATTGCCCTCCACTCGTCTTTATTTTAAGACTCCTTTAATCAAAACAATATGTTTCTCATTTTGTTGTATATTTAATAGAACTTTTAATATTATGAACTTCATTAATAAATTTCCAATTCTCTTTTAGAATTTACGTGATGAACCTGAAGACGAAACAATCGAAAATGCGGCAGAAATCCAAATGTACTTCCTTCATCAACATCTGTATCTGTTACTTTTGAAATGGTACTTCAAAACAACCAGAAAAAACAATTGCTTTTTGTGCTTTTTGTTCTGGCTATATGCGGAGCAATTAATAAACTTGATGCAGTACTGGAAAGAAGTAAAAATAAAGCTGATGAATCCAGCTAAAACAAATGCTTTTACGATGCAATCATCTGCCAGATACAAATTGAAAGTGTAATAAGACAAAAGCGATTACAGGTTTTAAGACAGATCCAGTATCATATCATTCCATCAGGGTTTCCGCCTTGCCAATAAGAGAATACTTCATCACTAGCGTTTTCGTTTTCACAGTGTCATTTATCTCCGTCGCCATTGATTCAAACAACATGAAAGGAGAAAATTAGTCATCGTCGATTTCAAATCAATCATGCGACAGACAATTTGTTCAATGGTTGATGGAGCAAATTGAAGTGAATGCCGATTTTTCGAAAAAAAAATCATCTTCAACTGGCCACCGAAATCGTGCGTTTTGACACCGTACGACTTCTTCCTCTGGGGTTCTGTGAAATCTCACGTCTATGCCAATACGCCACGGACTATTCCCGAGCTCAAGGACGAGATAAAACGCGTCATCGGTGAGTTAGAAGCGCAACTCTGCAGAAACATCATCGAAAATTTCATGAAAAGAGCAAGGATTTGTGTGCAAAGCCGCGGGAGTCATTTACCGGATATTTTATTTCATGCTTAATCGGAACATGTGTGCTTTATAATGCAGTAAGAATATCACCACTCGCTCAAAAACTATGCGTTTTGCTAAATTAAATCAGGCATTCTTATTGAGACACCCTATATATCGCCAAAACGTCTTTGGACGTCGTATATTGCTGGAACAAGAGTAAAATATCTTTGAATTAGCATCATTGAGAGGGGAAGGTTGCAGGCTACGCCCAGGTACATGATGGAAGTGTTGACAAAGGAAATAAAATTCAACTCTATGTCTGTATGTTGATGTTCATTTTCTTCGCGTCGTTCAATAATTGTCCATCAACATTTGGATTGCCCTTTTCCTTGATGTTATTGTCGAAACAAGTAACTGCCGGTATAGTCCTTGAATAGTCTTCGTTTTACCGAGATATTGCTCCAAAAGTTTGTGATAGTGCATTCTTAGGTAAACTATACTCATCATGGGATACAAGTGACAACGAAACAGTAACAGCAATATCTACAAATTATGGGATTTGAAAATGATGTAAAAAAGCTGGTTCAGATTTGTTTTATTTTCTGGATACTTACTATAGAGTGCAGAATTTTGATAAGTTTATGATAAATCCACGTTTCTTCAAACAAAGTCGTTTAATAACAAAATTCAAAAAAAATATTTTAATTACTGCGATAGTGCGGAAAAGGAGACGGGGATTATACACAACATTACTTTTTTAGGACCTCTGTTTTTCCAGTTTTATTTAATATACATAGTTATGAAAACCATAAAACAACAATAAAATAAAGTATTGAAATAATGAAGGCATCCAGTATTCACTCATACATATTACCTTAATTAATTAACTTTATTTACATTGCTTTCACAAAATGTTCTAAAATAATTCAGTCAAAAGAGATAAGGAAACATAGAATTGGTTACAGAATGTAACGATGTAGTGATGTTTCCGTTACATATAAAATAAGTGTTACGAATCATTTTGTAAAACCGCATAAATAAATATATTTATGTATTAAACTGTATTTCCTATTCTCTTTTTGTTAGGACAATTTTAATAACTGTCAATAAATAAAATACCTACGTTTTTAAAACTAGAAAAGCAGGTAATATTAGTAATACAGGGTGATTCATTAGCTCTATGACAAACTTTGGCAGATGAAAGGTGATGCGATTCTAAGGAAAAAATGTTATATGAATATGGGTCCGATTCATTTTGGTTAAAGAGTTACAAGCCTTTGAAAATTTTACACAGTTTAATAGGCAAATGAAAATGTAACATAAAAAATAAGTTTAAAAATTACAAAAATTGTTCGAAATGTCCGCCTTCAGCTTGAATGCACGCCTCACATCGACGAAGTAAAGATTCTATCACACGACGTATGATATTTGGATCATTCCGTATGCTATTAGCTGCATCTTGAATTCTGTCCAGTAGTTGCTGACGGGTAGTAATTTCTACATGGTACACAAGCTGCTTCATGTGTCCCCAGAAATAATAATCCAGCGGATTTAGATCTGGGGATCGTGGTGGCCAGACTACTGGACCTCCATTGCCAATCCATTTGTTTGGAAAATGTTCATGTAACCAAGAGATGACTTCTCTTCCTCGATGTGGTGGTGCACCATCGTGCTGATACCACATATTTTGGACGATGTTAAGTGGTACGTCGTTGATAACATCGAAAAGGTTATGTCCCAAGAAATTTCTGTACATATTTGCATTTAAGCGTTCATTTATCACCCATACAGGTAGCAAAGAATTGTTAAAAATGCCACCCCAAACGTTTACACTAAACCGTTGCTGAAATCTTCCTGGTCTAATTGCATGTGGATTTTGCAAGGACCACACATGTTCGTTATGATAATTATTTATGCCGTCCCTAGTGAAACACGCTTCATCAGACCACAGAACTTGGGAAATGAAGTTATTATTTTGAGCATGTTGCTGAATAATCCAGTGGCAAAATGCTAAGCGTTGCTCAGTATCTCCAGGATGTAATGCTTGAACATTTTGGCGATGAAACGGATGTAATATTTCTCGATTCAATACACGCCATACAAAACTTTGGGATATTTGTAACATGCTCGCTATACGCCGAGTACTAATTGAAGGGTCGTCAAGTACTAAATCAATAACACGTTCTTCATTTTGTACATTCACATCATGGGGACGAACGAAATGTAGTGGAGCGGGGTTACCTGTTTCTCTCAGTCTGCGAAATGATGCACTAAATATAGTGCATCATTTCCATATATTTCCATATAGTGTTTATATGGGCACATTGATGTCTATTTGGAAACCTACGAAGGTATTCTCTTGCTGCTTGCCGAGCGTTTCCGTTACAAAGCCCGTATACAAAAATAATATCTGCATATTCTTCAGTCGTAAATACATGCATTTTCGTTTTCGATCAAAACTCTGACAATTATAAACTTTGAAACACACAGAATAGAGTAAATTGAAATGTTTGACATAAAGAACTCAGTTTTGTTATCACAGCCAACTCTGTATTTGTGTTTCATAATTATTGTTGCGATTGTTGCAAATCTTTACTTCGTCGATGTGAAGCGTGCATTCAAGCTGAAGGCGGACATTTCGAACAATTTTTGTAATTTTTAAACTTATTTGTTATATTACATTTTCATTTGCCTATTAAACTGTGTAAAATTTTCAAAGGCTTGTAACTCTTTAACCAAAATGAATCGGACCCATATTCATATAACATTTTTTCCTTAGAATCGCATCACCTTTCATCTGCCAAAGTTTGTCATAGAGCTAATGAATCACCCTGTATAATGCGAGAAATAGTATGTGTACTGTCTCAATTAACCCTCTATGTCTAAATTAAATCGAAATCTTTTTTATCTTGTATTTTTGAAGATAACATCACCCTCACCTTCTGCAATTACACACAGTTACACATTTTTTCCCATTTAATACCAAAATTCCCCGACAACAAAATTAATTTAATATAATAATTTTTTTTTCATCTTATGAATAATAAAAATTATTAATGATCTTAAAAATTATTACTTTCTTTATTTCATAACAATTTTTGTTTTAATAAAAAATTTAAGATGTTTCATACGGTAAATTGGTTCCTTTCATATTCTCCAAAACCCATTTATTTAATTTATCAATCATTTCTTCGTTTAATTCGGTTTTATAACTATCCGTTTTCCCGATTCTCATAAATCGAGCGTCCTCAGTTTGAACAACACTTTCCTTATTAACAGCTTTGTTTATTTTCATCTGATCAAAGCTGAGATGTTGGACAAGTTCATCAATTTCGTTTTCGCTGTAACTTTTCCCAAGAAAATTTGAAACTTTATTAACAACTCCTTTTAAATCTGAATACATTTCTTCATATGTTAAAAACAGTATGTTTGGTAAATTACGTCGTTTCCAGTAGCTTAAAACAACGTTAAAGTAATCGCCGATTAATACTAAACATAAAAAAGTTATTTAAGTTAATGGTGGGTTTAAAATTGAATGGTTTTACCTTTTCCTTGAATATATAAATCTATAAAAGTGTTGAGATCACCTTTATATACTGGAAAAATATTTGAGCAATGATGATAATAAGATGTTGCTACTTGTTTTGGGTCTCTCATTACGTGGATAATCTTGGTGAAATTAATTTTAACTTTTATAAGCTTATTAAAAGAATATTACAAACCTTCGGAGTTTTTAAACCTTCTATGATTTGTCTCGGTAATAAATACCAAGGAAGATGCGTTTTAATAAATCTTTGCCCATTACTTTCGTCTAAGATTTTTATGATGTCAGGTAAACGAAGCATATTTAATCGTTCGATACTAAATAAATCGTGCTTTTTCCCAAATTCGATCAAAACTTTTGGCAAACAATTAATTCTTAAAAAAAATAATTTTAAAAAAGATGTTATGACAAAGATTTTCAAAGGTAAATACTCAATCATTGGGAAACGCAGATCTAAATCGATTTTAGCTCCTTCATAATTTAAATCGTTAGCGATTAACCACACCATTTCTTGAGTCCATGTGGTACCTTTAAATGTTTAGTTAGAGAAGAATTTAATTGTTTATATTATTTACCAGCTTTTGGATAAGAAGTAACCCAAATATCATCATTTCTTACTTGAAAATGTTCGATTTTTTCTTTTATCAAGAAAAAATCAGGTGGCATATAACAATTTTCGACATTTTTTAAATTAATACTAGAATAAAGTTTATCAGAACTCATTTTTTTAGAGGCTTATTCAACAATGAAATTTAATCTTACGTAAGTGAGATTTTTATTAATCTATATTTATAATCCATAATCTTAAATTTAAGATAAAGGCCACAACATTTTTTATTGATTAAAAATATCTATAAGCAATACAAATCAATCATAAATGTAAAACAAATCATTGCTTTTCGTATGGTAATCCCGTTCCAATTACATTTTTTGATATCCATTCGTCAAGCTTTGAAATCATTTCGGGTGTAAACTCTTCTTTGTAACTATCAACAGTTCCCGTTCTTATAAATTGACGACTCTCATCTTTGATATACAACTGCCCATTTACAGCAACGTTTTTCTTCATTTGATCGAAACTTAAATGATGAGCTAATTTCTTTATTTCATCTTCCGAATAAGATTTTCCCAGAAAATCAGAAACTTTTTTGATTACTGATATTAAATCGGCGTGCATCTCCTCGTAAGTTAATATTAATAAATTTGGTAGATGTCTTTGATTCCAATAACTCAAAACTGTTCGAAAATAATCACCATATAATTCTGTAAAATAAATTTTATATTAAATTGGCTTAAGATTGCAATTGCTTAATATTTAGTGTCTGATCGGATCGAAACTAAACACCTAATAATATGAGACTGAAATTTTGAGAATACGTTCAGTCAGACACCTTTGGTAAGGTTTACTTACGACGTCCTTGCATAAAAAATTCTATGTATTCTTCTAATGTTCCAACAAACTGTATATGTACATTCGCTGCGTGATTGTAATAAGAAGAGACGACTTGTTTTGGATTTCTTATAACATGTATTATCTAAAATTGAGAGATATAAAAAGGTGATGAAGTTATATTTACTCGCTAAATACAAAAAGAAACATTTTTAAATTTTCTAATATCAATTAAGTAGCAAAAATGAGAAGGAAATGCAAGATATTTTTGAAAAACTGCACAAAGCACTCTGATAATAAACTTGAGAACCACTGCTAGTATGCTGATGGTGAAAGGAGGAGCAGAAATTTAAAATCCCGAGGTGCACTATGAAAAAGAAAATTGAAGGCGAATATGACTATGCAGTAAAGAATAACAATCGACTTTCAAACTTAAAAGACGAAAGAGTTAATATAGATGAAACCGACAATGATACAAAAATAGAAACGGAAGAGCGCACGAAGATATATACAAAGTATCAAACTAGCAATCAAAAACCTAACCAAGATAAGAGAGATGTTAGGACGCAACCGGCAGAAATGACAAAAAGTAAGATCACAACCTTAATATGAACTGTAAATAGAATCCCGAATGGTTAACCAAGTGATTAACAACAAAATAATTTTATTTATTCAATAAATAATTTGGTGTAGTTTAACCAAGCTCGTAGCTGAAGAGATTAACATTGACCAGAAACCGAAGACGACTACCGAAAATTGAAGAAAACATTAGAGAGAGAGAGAAGTTCCGGTTCTACATACACGACTTAAAAGCAGAAAAACAACTAAATGTAGTGTTGAGGGGAACAATGCAAAAAGTTGAGAAAGACGTAATGGAAGTAGGCCACCCAACAAGTAAAGTAACGAGAAAGAACGACAAGGAAGGAGAAATGGCCATAATGGTTCTAAGCGAAACTAGGAAGGAACTAAGTTCAAAATAATCCAAAAACTAAAGATAAGCACTCCTTGTGAAGGATGCGGAGACCATCTTTCAACATCAATTAAACGTGCTAAAAATCCAAACAGTCCCAACCTCAGGAAACAACTACTAGAAGAAGCAACAGAAAGCTGTCTTTATAAAAACAGCACTGCCACACGCCAAAATATATGGACACAAGACCAGAAGCTATATGAAATCAATGTGGAAACATACACACCACATTGTACAAATAATTTCATTGATTTTTAAACTCATTTTGCCGAACTTATGAAAAATAAGAGGATCACATAGATAGTGACAACTGTGTTGAAGTTCCTAAAATAGAATTAACAGCTGATCAACCTGTCAGAATATATTGTGGAAGTTGATCCCATTATAGAACGTAGCATAACAACTTATCCAATAGGCTATGTGAGGAATTACTACATTTAAATGATAACATTGTGCAATGTGGGTTCTAGACCTAAATGCCACCCAGAACTTGGAACAGCTACAAATTAAACGGCACAAGAAGCAAGTTCTAGAAAATCCCCGATGATACCGAATGAGAACGGGGGACCCGTAGAACTGACACTCATTCACGTAGTCAACGGTTTAATAATTATAATAGACATTGCTATAATCAAGAATTTGAGCATAGAAGAAGCCATACAAAACATGCAACCTGACACAACAAGTGCAACCACAGCAGCAGCACTACAAAACCCAATACGACGCGTTTAAAACAAGACTAACCTAAGACAACTAATGAATGAAAAGAAACTAATTAAAAAATAATATGAATAAGGAACTAGATGACGAAATTGATAAAATTAATCAAACAGAGCAGGATAGACGACTTGAAGATCTAACAGCAGAAGACCTGAATCGAAATGGAAAATAACTACGGTATTATACGGGAATAGATAAGCATAGCAACCATTGCACACCTAGTAGCATCCCAAAGAACAACCATAACGGACGAATATAATTCGAAACACTGCGCTTAGAATACAAAACTACATGTACGAGTAAAACACGTAGCGAAGCATTACAAAACCATAACACGAGAAGCCTACAGTATTGCGATCGAAGAACTGAAACAAATAATAGCAAAAATAATTGCAAACAAAAAAAACAATCAGAAACATAAGAAAAAAATGCTGAAAGAAAAAAATTTATTCCAAACCACCACTATGAATTTAGAAACGAGCACTCGATTATACAACAAATCGTAAGGATAACCGAAGATACAGTGGAAAAGAAAATCAATGTAGGAAAAAAGCATTGGATTCATCGTCATAGAAAAGACAATGGAGTAGGTATCCCGCCAGGATTGAAATGAAGAACGTCAAAATTTACAGCAAACTTATAAACATAATAAAACATGACTGACACAACAAACAGTATAACGTCAGAACAGGTATTGCAAAATCAACCAAAAGAAAAGTAGAGAGTTAGGTGCCGCGGACTTGTACTTGGTCCCCTTTTTTAAGAGATCTCAACAGCACACACTACAATGTGACAGTTAAGTACAGTCAAGAAACAGTTAAGAAAGATAGACGATAATTTTAACAAACACCTACGATAAGGAACTGACAAAATACTGAAATGAATGGAATTTCTCCATGCAAACTTGAAAAATTCTAGTAAGCCTAAATCCAAAAATGATTCTATGCCAACACAAAAAAGAGTCAACAATCCATACAGAATAAGACTAAACCAATAGCAAATTAATTGAAAGAATGTGTAGTAAAAAGTAAACATTTAGGAATAATACTCGCTGAAAAAACTAGCACTACGGAAACAACCAAGCAAAAAACATCCAAAATAATAACCATTATTCAATAAAACCAATCCAACAATAATCTATGCAGGAGTTGTATATAATATGACTATAGGCAGCATAAAGAGTATAATAATTTTTAAACAGTACCTACTACAAAGGTCAAGAATACGATCAAAAGAGAAACTGTAGTTGCAAAAAAGGAAACAATGGAAAAAAATATTAAAAAACAGGGAGAAAATAACAAATTTAATTGGAAAAATACCGAAATAAGACGAAGACGCCAAAGCTTGATCTTTACGTATCTAAAAAATCACATCAGAAGAGTGATTTTGAAGAACTTAATGGCTCCAGATAACCTAACTATGACGACTGATGAAGATTGACTATAAAGATTAATTATTATTGCAAAATGTTCTTAGCCAAGGTGATTAAATCTTTTTTCTAAGAAAACTATCGAGTGACTCACTGCGAATTTTATAAGTTGTCGATCACACCTCCTCGAGATAAATTTGTGTTATCGGTCGAGACAATTCAAAGAAATCTTGAGTCTTTCGCCAATGATGTCTTTAACAAAACCATGATACCAACTAGCTTAGCGATTAAGGCAGAAGAAAAAAGTGAAAACAAGATGGTGAGTGCACACCTTGGGTTGGTATTGTATTTTATTGTGACAGGTAGAAAAGTATGTTAAAATGTTGTAAGACGAATAAGATTGTGAAAGATGTTGAATTTAAAGAAAGTGACAAACAAAATGAAAATATACATATTTATTTTTGGTCTAAGAATTTTTAGACTTTAAAAGAATCTAAAGCTGTCATTTTATATAATAGATCTAAGAAATTATAACTAAACGCCACTATAATAGGTTGTCAGTGATTAAACATGTTACTACAAGAACAGAAAAACTATTTTTGTAATTAGCAATATTTCTCCTATCTCTTTCTTCTATTTCTCTTTTTCTACTATCTCTATGCTCTATGTAATCCATATATTCTACTTGTTTGTCTCTAGCAGACAAAAAAGTTTTTATTTCCATGATTGATTGATAACAACTATAGAATTCAAATCAAATATTCAAATAGAATTCAAATACGAAACATAACCAACATTGAACTCCAAAAGAGAATTGACCATACTACCATAATCAATAAGAACTCATACTTATTTTAATTGAACATGAATTGTTACATAACTTTTATGATTCATTGTAAATGCCATTGACATTTTTGGCTCGTGATAAAAAATTCAAGATAAGGTCGTTTTTAACTGGATTACTAATATCTAAAATTTCCCAACTAAAATACTCAAAAACTAAAAGCGATATTGGACAACATTTTGTATACACATTATTCATAACGAATTATAAATGCATAACCCATTATTCAATCTATATAAATTATGTACATAAAAATTCAAACCTTTGGATTTTTGGTTCCATCTTTAATCTGTTTAGGTAAAAAATCCCAAGGAACATGACTCTTAATATATCTAACATTTTCGTTCTTTTCGACCATTTCAAAAAAATCCACTTCATCCCCGGCCTCCTTAAAATTAATGTTGAACTTATTTCTAAAATTATTCCATTCCTCATAAAAAGAGTTACACCTAAAATCATTAATTAATTTCGAAACAAAAAGTTAATTTACTCTTCTTACTCCAAAAAAGGAAATCGAAAATCCAACTCAGTTTTAGCTCCTTCATAATTTAAATCATTACCTATTAACCAAACCATTTCTTGAGTCCATGTAGTTCCTTAATAAAAATTTAACTATTTAACTATTTTGACAAATTTTAATTAACTTACCGCATTTTGGGAAAGAGGTAACCCAAACATCATCATTTCGCACTTCCAAATTTTCAATTCTTTCTATATACTCGTTAAATTCTGGTGGCATTTTAAACCCGTTAAAGTCTTTTAATGTAAACGTAGCCATTTCACTGAAATTTGCTGCGTTATAAATCAAAAATCGTGCAAATTCGATTATTTAATATCTAAAGTATAAAACTCAACTGAACATTGACGCGAAAACATTGTTTATAGTCCTCTCCATTCAAGATAAGACTTCTCGGTGTAAATACTTTTTTATTTAAAAGCCAAGAAAGTTATCGATAAATAAATACTTCAAAACACATAGATATCAATTTTACATAATCACCACTAAGAAATACGACGGGATTATTTAGGAAAAAAATTTTTTTTAATTAATATTTATTTATTTAATATCATATGGAAGATCTTTTACATTATCATCAATCCATTTATCTAATTTATTTATCATTTCTTCACTTAACTCACTTTTATAACTATCCGTCATTCCTTTCCTTATAAATTCAACTCCACCAGGTTTAGGTAAATTGTGTTTATTAACAGCTTCGTTCGCTCTCATTTTTTGAAAGCTTAAATGATCGGCGAGTTTGTCGATTTCCTCTTCATCGTAATTTTTTTCAAGAAATTTGCAAACTTTTTTAATTACAGCTTTAAGATCCTTATGCATTTCTTCGTATGTTATAATTAGCAGGTTGGGCAAATCGCGATTTTTCCAATAACTTTGAACCACTTTGAAATAATCTCCACTTAAAACTATGTTATAAACGGTTATTAATTTTTATTTTAATTATAAATTGTTAATTTACCTTTTCCTTCAATAAACAAATCGATAAAATCGTCGAGGTTTCCTTCAAATAAAGGAGTGATTGTTGCGTTATGATGAAAATAAGATATTGCAACCTGTTTTGGATCTCTCATAACATGAATTATCTTAAAAAATAGAACATGTTAATTGAGTTAATCCTCACAATATAATTAAAAAGTACCTTGGGTGTTTTAAATCCATTGGTTATTTGTCTTGGTAAAAAATACCAAGGAAGATGGGTTTTAATCATTCTTCTTCCAGGAGTTTCGTTTAATAATTTTATCATATCATGAGATACGCATGACTTCAATGTTTCGGTATAAAGATCATGTGACTTATCTTTTAACGAGGTTAGAAGACAATTCATTCTACTCACAATTTAAATTAATTTAAAATGAAAACAAATTAAAAAGTAAACTTACTCAATAAATGGAAATCTATAATCTAAATCAACTTTAGCGCCTTCATAATCTAAATCGTTTGCTATTAACCAAACCATTTCTTGTGTCCAGGTGGTGCCTTAAAAAGTATTTTTAAATTATTTAAATTTTTTATTTCAAAATTGTTTTAAACTACCTGCTTTTGGATAAGATGTAACCCAAATATCTTCATTTCTTACTTCAAAATCTTCAATTCTTTCTTTAGTTATAAAAAAATTCGAAGGCATATAACATCCTTCGAAATTTTTTAATTTTACGTAATTGAATTGTTGATTATCACCCATTTCACACCAAATCGTCGAATGAAGCCGTAAATCGCTAATATACGTTATAAGAACTTTATCGTATCTAATGATCACTATTTGATTAGTTTAACATTAGAATTGGACAAATCGTAGTAATACGATTATATGATAGCATTTTTTTATCTATAAAGATTATTGTAAAAATGTATATTAAATTTTATCATTAATTTATTATCTGTTTTATTACTGTAATTTAATATTTTATTATTTTATGACAGGTGAACCTAGATTCTCTTCTCTGATAGAAATAAGGTAATCAAATAAGCATTTAAGCCTAATATTTAATTGTTTTAACAGTTCTTGTATCAATATTAACTGATAGGTAAGCTGAAATATGTAGCCATAATGACTTACCTGCTGAATCTGCTTACCATTATTTCTTACAGAGAGTGCTTTCTCAACATATTAAACGATCTGATAGATAAATCTAACAAATTACAATAGGTAAGTTGGGGTGATGCAAGAACCAAGAGTCATTTCCAATCTTCCACAATTTCTAGAATAGATAATGCTTGGTGACTTTCAGATTTATCAAAGACTAGAAAATGAAGGTCAATCTAGAAGGACTCTAGGGAATACCATAGCACAAGAGTATGTAATTCATGCCGTACAAATAATTCAACAGGTTCTATATACTTCACAAGCTTGGGGCCGTAAATCAATTTTAGCATATGCATTGTATTTGTCCTAGTTTCGATTTCGTTTGTCGTTGGTAAAGTGAGCTAGATGAATAAAAACTACCCTCAGATAAATACTGAAAATGCCAACATTCAAGAAAGCTTTGGTTGCCTTCAGTTGATATCTCTATCTTTGGTTGCCAATGTTGGTTCCAATTTATTAATAGATAAAGTAACCTTCTTTGCCCACTTTCCTTTTTCATTTCCGTGTCTATATTCAGACTTTTCTTCAGTTTCCTCTTTGTCGATCCAGTCTTACTGTGGAACTTCTACATATTTAGTATTAATCATTAATAATTCAGTATTAATCTCTTGTTAGTCTCCCTGTTCTCTATGTAGTACCTATCTTGTTATTTTAGTTGCTTTCCAATCGTCCTTTTCTCCTCCCAGTCTCTTTCTTCTGTTTCTAGTTTTTGTTTAATCCATTTCTTCCATTGCCAGAGTCTATTCAATCTCTCTTTTATCGTGAGTATCTTTCCCATCTTTCTTTTTATTCTACATTTTTCTTGTCTCCACAATCTCTCTGTCTCTGGAATTCTTCTTCTTTTTGTTACAGGTTCATTGTCTCTGTTTCCAGTTCCTGTTTAGACTATTTTTCCTTTACCTGTCACTTTCCAGTGTTTCTATATTCTACCAGTCTTCGTTTAGTCTTATTTTTCTAGCACTAGTCCTTTACTAGTTCATCGCTTCTTGGTCTCACTTTTTATCTTCTAAGGCATTTTGCAGTCTTCTTTCTCTCTGCCCGTCCTCCTTGTTCTATTCAAATTTCCTCAGCTTTGTTTGGCACTTTACTTACCTTTACAGTATCTTTTCAATCTGCCTCCTATCATATCAATTTCATTCTTCACTTTCCAGTTTATGCCTGGCCTTTTCCATCGATAAGACATTTCAATCCAGTCTTCCTCTACTCTATTAAATTCCTTTCTTATGTTTACAGTTTCCTTCAATTCTCCCCTTTATCTGTCCAATATCCTTTTCCTCTTTAAAATCTCCGCTGAGTTTCTTCCTTCAATTACCAGCCTTTCGTTTTCTGTCTAATTCTTTTCTCTATTCTAATTTCAGTCTCTTTCTCCATTTCCATTTCCGTTTCTGCCCAGTCTCTCTCTTCTACCAGTTATGCTTTCAGTCACCCTCTTCTCATTCCAGTCACTTTCTGATCTTTTATTACTATTTGCCATTCATTACTATTACCAGTTTCTAGCTAGTTTTCTTCTTGTGTATCAAGTCTTTTTCTTGCTTTTGCTGCTACTTTCCTTTGCCTGCCTCTTCTCTGTCTAGCATCTGCTTCCTTTTATCAGTCTCGGTTCTGTCTCTTTCATTTAGTACCAACCACTTTCCAGACTTCTTGCCTATACAGTCTCCTTGTATCTCCCTCCTACCTGCTCAACGTCCTTCTTTTTCCTAGCTTTCTTCAATCTCTAGTTCCTTTCTTGACTTTACTTCCTTCTTACAGAAGACGGCACATAAAAAATAAGAAGAAGATTATATGTTTTCTATCCGGATAGCATTTTTTTATATTGCAGACTTAAAGCTTCAATAAATATTAGCATTTTCGTTTATAACTCGAGGACATTTGCTGCGATACATAATCATGAGAGACGGTATCTCTGAAGACAATTTTTCCTTTTTTCTCTATACTTAAATTCCTTTGCACTTTTATTCTATAAGACAATCAAACACTTAGTTATAAACCTACGACTTAATATAATAAAAATAATATCACGACTTTCCCCCAATCATCTCAGTAAGATTTAAACCAATTTATAGATAATTCATTGCTAACCCGTAGCTTCAGCGTGTAGATTATGAATTCACGGTTAATTAGGAAGAAAAATAAAGTAAAAATTGATTTATTTCGCAATATTGAAGTGCTTAAATTAGTGAATTAATTACAGGAATTTAATTATTACTGTCACAAACAAATTTAAGTAAATTATAAAAATAGTTACAACAGCATACACAATAATAGTTAAACGTACATAATAAAAATATACAGCCATCTAAGAATAATCTATACACAGTCCTAGTATTAGTGCTCTTTCTGATGTGGAATTATAATTATAATTGTAATATGAGTAATTTTCATTAATTTTAACCGTATATGGTGTTGAATTTTGATATAATTTTTCGACTATTACTTTTTTGTATGTAAGCTCATCATTTTTTAAATAACAATTCGATCGATTGTAATACCAATTTAAAAGCTTTTTTTACTCCAATATCTAATCGACTACAAATTCTTTGAAAAAAGACTTAAAAGATAAATTTCTTACACTGTATTATCCAAATTCTAATGTTATTAAAAAAAAATGATGGATACATGGCTACATCCCAAAAATGCATAGTCTATGAGCAAAGTATTTAGTTAAATTTAGCCACATGAAACAAATGGGAAATTAAAGATTACATAATAATAAATAACAAAATATATAATTCTAATCTAAGTTACTTATTTGTTAAAGCTTTTGTTATTACAAAACTTATAAAGTTATATTCAATAGTTCTGTATTTATTATAACATGATTGAAATGGAATCTTTTTCGTAATAACGCGTTCTAAAATTTTCCAAATACGCTGTTGAGTTAAAGATGTTTCGTCGTAATCGTAATACACTTGACATTTCTGCAAATTTCTCATAAATTTAAAATTTTCTTTTAAAGTTCTCGATGCCAAATAAAATGAACTTAGCGCCAATAATGACGGTGGAAATGTTGAAAAATATGGTGAAAGGGTCATCAATTCTAACATGTAATACGACGCCAACAGAATGTTCTTATTTTGAACTCCAGAACAAATGACGTAGTATTCCAGGAAAGCAGAGGGATCGACGATGTTGCATTTACAATTCATGTAATCGAAAATTTTTAATTCCATGTTGCGTAATTGACGAATGTCGTAAGCTCCACCAGTTAACGTCAGTATTGTTCTTGACTACAATATTTTTTAACAAAAATTTATTATTAATTAATTCATATTTAAATAATTAAGTTAATTTCAATGCTTACATTAGCAAACACGGGATCGTTATATTTACTTAAGATCCAATAACATGTTATTGCGACAAGTTGATACATGTTTATCGCCACGTTAGTACTTGTTAAAATATTATCAAATAAACGTACGGTTTGAAGAAATGTTATTCGTGTCATACTTAATTGCTCCTAAAAGTAAATATTATTTCATATTTATAATTTTATTTATAAATTGATGAGTTACCTGGATTTTTATTAACCAATCTATCACAACTGCCCTAGCATTTAGGTTAACTTGCTTTTCTTGAAATTTATCTGGTTCTACTAAATGATGGTTTTCATTACTTACTAAATAAGTTATATTATCCTAAAATCCAATAAAAAAATGTTAATGTAAATACTAATGTATCATATCTTACCAATCACACCAATTAATTTAAAAAAGCGTTTCAAACTAAAATAAAATTGAATCGATGTGGAATTTATTCGGATTTACGACAGAATTTATTAACTCAGAGAAACTATTGATCTCACAAAAGTTCAGAAACAAATCAGACATGATAGTTGCCAAAGTTCAACCTTCAAATATATTGCTAATAAAAATTGAACAAAACACACGTTTTGAAATAGAAAGGTTACTTTTCTAACCTTTGTATTCTGTATATCGTTCGGTGATCTTCGCACACAGGTGATTTTCAGGATACAAGAGAGGTACACAAGAATTCTTTTTTTGTCTCACCTACAAACAACATCGTGTTCCTACCAGTTCCGTTATAGCTACGTATGTTCGTTTACTCCAACACAATTACTGTTTTTCGTGGCCAAAAATTAGATAAGTCGTTATAACAGCAAAAACGGCGATTTATACACTTTCGCTGCGAAAAAAGTTCGAAAGAAGTTGTTCGGTGACACTGAAATTAGTCAAGGGGGATTGACACTTTTTTCGGTGTGATAACTTGTCCTCGGTCTTCATCTCCTTCTTCTTCCTTTGGGCGTCCATTGCCATATTTGTTTGGATAGCCTCGTGTTATAAATTTGATGCTTATTATTGTGCGATATGCTTTTATCCCATAATATGTTATGTGTGTAGTATTCATCATAGCTATACTGCCTTATATGTTACTACCCTTTATGGTGTAGTCTAGTATTGCGTCGTTGGTTATTTGTGCTTCTAAATATTTATACTTGCTGGTAGATTGTGTGCACTTTCCACAGTTTAGATCATGGTCCTGCTGTCCACTCACATATATATCGCCGTTTTTTGTATATTAAATTCCAGCCTCCATTTATTGTTTTCCTCTATGACCTTTCTAGTCATGCATTACATATCTAGCTGGTCTAGTACGATTACTTAATTGGCAATGATCAAACTCAAAATAGCATTAAACAAAACTAAATTGGCAACAATCATAATCAAATTGGCATTAATAAAAATCGAAATTACATTACTCAATTACAAATTGTCACTCTTAACAAACTGTCTACAACATGCCTTATATCTATTAAGAACAAGCAGCAGCAGCTAACATAAAACGCCAAATTTGGGTCGTTTACAATACGAATGGCGACTGGCACAATTTAACTGAAATTCTTGGTGTTGCAAAAAGAACACCAATTGATCCTGATGTTCAGATGAGTAAAAAATCAAAAAGATGAAAAACCAAGAGGAGGTAATCGTAAAATAAAGATTACAGATGAACATCACTGTTTCTTTGAACATAAAGTTGAAGAAAATCTTTAAATCACACTTCAGCAGTTGCAAGAAACATTACTAAATAAGTTTCAGCTTAATTTAAGCAAGAAGTGTATTCGACAACACCTTGATAGCCTCATGTTTACATTAATACAAATACGTTTTGAACTGGAAAGAATCAACACCGTCGAAGTGAAAACAACAGGATCTCAATACAATGGAAATTTGCCTGAACTTCAAAGTGAAAACACCCCCATAATTTATTAAGACGAAGCAAACTTTAATTTATTTATTTCGCGAAGTCATGGTTGTTCAAAAAAAGGAAGTCATTGTACTTTTCGGATGTATCAGTGACTCATTTAAAAAGGAAGGGGTTAATGAGTTTGTTATGCAATGCTTAAGGAGAGGTCAAGATAGCTATCAATGTTCGGTGACTTTAGTCATTGATAATGCTCCTTGCCATTGTGATGTTGAAGAAGTGTTGTCAGAACAAGAATTTCTTCATGATAAGGCTAAGTACTTATAGTCGAATGCTAAACCCAATTGAACAGACTTGGTCAATTTTGAAAACAGGTGTAAAGGCGGGCTTGGAAAATACAATGGCAAATATTTTGGAGGAAAATGACCGAAAAAATTAGTCTCAAACAGATTACAGAGTTCGAAAATTAGAAAATATAATTAGTAACAATATTTCAAAAATTAATGGAACTAACTGTAACAGGTTTATAGCCGGAATTCAAAAGTACATCACCTCTATTTTAAACATGAATGATTAATACCAAATATAAAATTATATATTTAATATGTTAATCACGTATTAAAGATTGCTTTGTTAAATTACTGAATGCCAAGTTGATGTTGATTAATGTCATTTGGTTTTGATTAATGCTAATTTGATTATAACAGTTGCCAAATTAATTTCGTTTAATGCCATCTGGTTTTTGATTAGTGCTAATGTGAACTTGAAAAGGTATAGATATATTGTAAACAAGGTCGTGTAGGTACCCCTCCTTGAGTCCTTTAATGATGTAGCCATTCAACATTCTTTATCCCATCTTAATTTTACAAGTAGCTGTAGCTTGTTGGTATAAATTTCTCACTGCCTTTATATGGTCACATTGATGTTTGCTGGATATTGAGTGCCCATCACTACAGTACCTCTATAATAGTCGCTGATTTGTTTATCTACCTTTTTAAGTATAGTGGATATAAAAGCTGTGTTCTATTCTTCTGGATTAATTAGCTGTTAAGGCAGTTCAAGTATAGTGCCTCAAATTAGTATTGTTTTACTGTTCCACATTTTATAAGCTCTGTTGGGATGTTACCGGACATCGGTGCTTGCACATTATTCAGGGATTTACAAGTCTTTGATAAGTTCTTTATTGTTATTCTGATTGGGAATGCTGTTATACCTATACTTTCTTCCTTCTCTTGTTCCTGCAGTAAGTTTGGTCTATCTTCTGTCAGTAACTGCTTAAAGTACTTATCCCATTTTTCGCGCGTTATATTATTACCACTCCAAAAGTCATAATCAATACCAAGATCTAATATAGTTTTAACTATTTTTTAATTGAATCCACAGTAACTCCACAAAATATCAAAAATTTTAAAATTAAAAGTGAAGGGGGTCATATTTAGCACATGAATATGAATATGTTACTAATGAACTAAAAAGACATAGTCTCTATCGTAGCTATGACTATTTTTTAAGTAGAACGCAAACATTTCCATTTTTCTATAACATTAACATTAATAACATAATTTCTTTTCGTTATTGCATAAAAGCATATTCCATAATTATTTCCATATGTATACACATACCTTTTGGTGTAATGTGATAATTATTTATTAACATCAATTGTTAACTCTGTTCAATATTTGGTAATCATAATGCTAGTAAATGAAAATTAGCTGTCATTATTACACCATTACTTCTCTTCCAAAAATCACTTACTTCCTATGCAGTTCGCAGATCGTGTTCCATTTTCAGAACAAAATCGTTCTAAGGTTATTATTTAAGTTGCAACAATAGAATACTTTTGGTGTTCCAAACCGATCATTGTTTTGTTCTCCAATATGTTAAAATAGTAAATTGTTGATTAAATTTTCTATAAAACGGTTTTTATTTCATGGTGATGTCACCATTCGTTGTTGAGATACTATTTTTTAAATTTCTGTTAGGCAACCCTAAATCATTAAAAGCATATAGTTTAATTAAAAAAGTTGTATTCCAACACTTATAGAAACGCAACAATTATTGTTGTTGTATTAAAACTAAATTAAATTTACTATTAAATGGATTTCATTTCAACTTAATATCTCAATTACTTCTTGAGATACGATTTTTTCAAAGTTGATGTTTATAAACTCTACCTGTCATGAGTAAATACACAAAGATGAAATAAAACAACCAGAACGTCAAAACTTTTAGATACAAAAAAATGGTGTTTAAGTCATTAAATCTTGATTACATTTTCTTTAAAACGGTTTTTATTTCAAGGTGATATCACCATTCGTTATGGAAATACTATTTTTTAAATTTTTGTTTGGCAACCCTAAATCATTAAATGCATGTGGTTTAATTCAAAAAGATGTATTAGTAGCACTTATAGAAAAACAACAATTATTTTTGATGTATTAAAACTAGATTAAATATACTATAAAATGGTTTTCATTTCAATTTAATATCTCAATTACTTCTAGAGATACGATTTTTTCAAAGTTGATGTTTATAAACTTAACCTGTCATGAGTGAATACACAAAGATGAAATAAAACAATCAGAACGTCAAAATTTTTAGATATAAAGAAATCGTATTCAAAGCATTAAATGTTAATTAAATTTTCTATAAAACGGTTTGTATTTCATGATGATATCACAAATCGTTATTGAGATACTACTTTTAAAATTTTTTGTTGATGAACCCTATTCAGTAACTACACACAGTAAAATAAAAAAAAAATGGTATAACCAGCAGATATAGAACGCAACAATTATTGTTGTTGTTCTAAAACTACACTTAATTTACTATAAAATGGTTTTTATTTCAAGTTAATATCTCAACATCTTCTGATATGATATTTCAAATTCAATAAATATGATTTTTACGAGTAATTAACCATATTAGTTAATTAAATTATTAACCATATGAGTTACTTCTAATTTATATATAAAGTATCCATAAAGGACATGTTTATTGATAAAATTGCATGCAATAGAGTGGATAAAACTGATTTAACACTATTTTTGATTAAAAAAGTAAGTTGAAATAAAATTTAAAATACTCACCAAAATGTACTCTCTGTTATGCAACCTTCCAAAAACGTGATGTATTTCCACTAAAATAACGCAAATAAAGAAAATTTGTTATTAATTAATAAGTAACCTACATTTACTGCTTGTTTGATTCTTTGCTGTCTCTGTTTTTTTACGGTTTAACCTTTTAACAGCTGGAGATGTAATGACAGCGTGTTCTGCGGTACGTTTATTCTTTAAAATAGGAGATAATTTTTTAAGATTACTTTGTGTTTCAGCGACGAAAAAAACGTCATCATCGGTATCCGTGTCATCAGTTCCGGAGTCGTAATCAAAAGATCTTAAATCATTTTCAGAAGGTGGTGCATTTCTTACAGTAGCGTACTTTATTTTATCGGTATGATTTGATTTCGCGCAAGAAGGACCAGCCTCCATATAATAACCATTTTCTATATTACTCTCATAACAATTTGGATTATCTTTAAAATGGCTTGCGCTTTTCGACTTATGTTTTGGAACATCAACACAAAGGCAATTAATGTTGCTTGTGTATTTTGTATCTGCGTTGCATCGATTTGGTTCAATATCATTTAGTGCGCCTCTTCGGTCGTATTGTTTTTGGTTAAGATGATTTGAATAACCCGGAGACGATGAAACTCTTTGTCTTATTGAAGATGTTAACACATTGTCGCAAACAAACACGCGCTGTACACGATTATTCATTTTATTTTAATATTAATTTAGTGCGATTCACGTGCTACGTTCGTTGAGTACGATTAAAGACAAGAAACATTTCTGGTTTTAAGCGAAATCTTGATATATAAAAAAAGTTGTTATGTGCGTATTCGTTTTAAAATGAGATACTTTAAATGTAAGATTAAATGTTACACATTTTTATATTATTTATTTTTATTTTTTTCAAGAATTCCATTTATTGAAAACGCTGAAAATACCCACTTCATATTATCCATAGCTTCCCAAACTAAACAATTTCGATGAACAAAAACTTCTTCGTCCATTTCGTTCGTACATCTCGGTAAATCAGTTAAAACGTGCCAATTTTTATTACAACCATTCGTTATAGCTTTCAATGAAAGTTTTAAATCAGGTTCAATGTTACATGTAGTTACTACAACGTTCGCATCTTTTATAGCTTCTTCTAAACTATTACATTGTTTCATAGCGGTGTTCGTAGTGGCGCAAATTTCTTTAGCATCTTTAAATACAGCGGGGGTTAACGGCGAATCTTTACAAAAACCGCAGAAAAAACTAATATCCATGCCAAGTTTTGGGCCGAGAAGCATGTAAGTGTTAAATAAAGCTGTTGGAGGCCCAATCCAACATAATTTAACTCCTTTTAAGCCGTTAAAATGGTTTGAAATAGCCATAAAATCAGCTAAACATTTTAAAAGTTTATAATAAGAGCTTTGTATACAAATTAATGGCACTGAGAAATTTGATGGTAGCTTCAATTCACGTTTTCCTGATTGATAAAAAATAACGTTGAACGATTTTTCTAGATAATTAAAAACATCCTGAACATTTTCTTGTTCATCCCAATGCTGATCAATGATCGTGTTCAATTTAACATCGAGAAGTTTCGATCCTAAAATTGCTGGAGTTTGAACGTAAACGTTTGGTTGTTGAAGTATTAAAGCAATTTTAGCATTTTTTGCACCTTTAAAGTCCGAAAAATGTTTACGTTGTTTTTTAGGAGATTTCTTCAACTCTTGGGATATAGATAAAATATAGTTTAAATCATCGTGTTCTAATTTCCTGGTCGATATCCAACTACTAATAAAACATTTTTGAAATTTCCATATCATCTGGACTTCTTAAAATTTAATTCATGTTTTTTGATGCATTTGATTACATTATTTAGATGTGATTATGACACATTTTGACGTAATGAAATATGTATAAGTCATCCACAATATTGAAACTTCTCTACTATTTATAAACATTGTATGTGTGGCTGATACGATCAGATTATTTATATCATTTTTTTATAAATAATAAGTACTAGATTGGTTTTATATGAAATGCTTGTTTATTATCATTAAAAAACTAGTTAAAGAATGCTGACGAATTTAAAGACGCCGAGAATAACATCACTTATATGACGAACTCCTTTCCTAATGTTAAGTTCAAGGCTGAGCTTCTTGCGCTTAAAGTTGAATGATATCTAACAGTTTCTCTAATATGCAAAGTTTATGTCATAGATTAGGATTGGTAAATTGGCTTTGAAAATAACTTGCCCACTTTGATATATCTTTTTGATTTCACCAAGGCTTTTGACTGCATTGACCATGAGCTATTGTTACCAAAATTAAAAGCTCACCATTTTAGTGAACTCAGTATTCTACTGCTTAAATCTTCCCTTAGGTTTTTTTTCTATTGTTTAAGATTATAGTTTATGATAAACATAATATTTTAATTTTTTCATTGAAATCTGGAGATTTATGATTGCCGACGAAATTTTTTGGGACATCGACAACAGCTCATGCCTGTTTCCTATGGACTATAGGACTTGTTAAAAAAGAGAGATTATCGACTAATTTTCTTATGCCAGGCACTACAAATATTTCCTCTTTAATTTTGGCCTCACCTAACTTAGAAAATTTATTTTTCAGAAACTTAAAACTTGTTTCATCTTTAGGAAGTGCTTTCACGAAATACTTGATTATACCAAGTTTGATTTGTAATAGCGATAAAATGATTTTTTGATATTTGTCACAGAACGTCACCTTAAAGGCCAGTTTTGTTTAATATAATGTTCTTAAAAGCTCTTCGAAATATTATCGAAGTACTGTAGCAAAGGAAGCAACAATACTCGTATAGCCGCAATAGAATCCTAAAATTAAAGGTACTACTTTCAAATTTATACATATTTGCCATTTAAACACAATTTTGCGCATGTTTTCTAGAATAAGTCTTAAAATTTAGTGAGTTCTGCACCCAGTCTGTAAATGATTATTTCAATCTCGATCATTTCTTCAATTTCTTTCTTCATCAATTTTCTTTGATCAAATCTAAATCGCTAACAACATTATTTAGCTTTGATTGAAATTCCTCTCAGCTAATGACAATCGTTTCTAGTAGCACATCGGCACATTTTACGAAACTATTCATTTTTTTTAACCTCTTCACGTTTGTCAAACAAGAATAACAATGGTCTGCATGACTTTTGAGTTTATGCCACTAAAATGCCTTTTGGTGTAGCAATCTACACCAAAAGGCATTTCTTTTATAGTTCTATGGTACTAACCCGTGCTTTGTTTTGTCTTTAACTTCAGCATTAAAATAAACTCTATAACACGTTTCAAGCAATGCTACAACTGGCTTTTTCGTTGTAAATATACTTCAAACATAACAAAATAAGCTTGATGGTTATATTTTGTATATATAACTTCAACTTCAAACACCTGTTGCAATTGCGCAAAGTAAATAACTTAGCTTTAGCCAAACAGATGGAACAGTGCCAACCAAGTTAAATTGATATAATGAGCTTTTCGTAAAATGTCAACTTTTAATTAATTAATATACTAATATAATTAATATAAATTATATATTCGTCATATATCGAAGTGCTAAATATTAAATCTTTTGGGTCTACAGATTCCCTAAAGAACTCTATATCCTACTTCCTGTAGATAGCTTATTATGTATGTTATAAGACATGATATCTCATTTAGATATATTTAGAACTATATTTTCTGTTGCATACTAGATGTTTTGAAGAGTTCTGCAAACTTTTTTTTCTTCGTTTTTGTAAGATTAGAGTACGCAGATCTGGATAATGATGAAAGAATAACATCTTATAGTGAAATAGCAAGCATTTTCAAGAATACATACCTAAATTGTTTTCCTATCCATAAGGCAACGGTGTAATAAACTGTAAATCGTTTTGGGAAACTAATATGAATTGACTACAAAGGTTTAGATGTAATGCACAGCTTTATTGAAGATCCACATGCACCTTCACGCAGAACTGCACAAGGACATGATGTAGCCTTTCTTAAATTTTCCATGTATTAAGCATAAATTTAAACTATTTAAAAGATAATGCAAATATTAACTGAATATGTCTTCGTTCGCAAATTGGAATTTAGTGAGGTATTGATGGAAATAAATACTACTGACGAGAATTTTGTTAGCAAGATGTTTTACCAACGAAGCAACCTTTATATTATGTAGGAATGTAAATTTGTATAATGTATTGGAGTGGAATGATGAATATCTCCTCTGAATGTGAAATTTGACAGCTGATAATATATATTTAGTTATTCATATTGCAATATATTTTATACTATAGGAAATTCAAAATTATTAACCGCCAGGCAGGTTGTAGGTGCTATGATGGATAAATTGGCAGATTGTGCTAAATTTTGCGTAAAGATCTTGACTTGCAACACTCTTACAAGATCAAATTATCTTACGTTGAAACCTCTCCATCATTTGAAGCACCAAAACTTTTCAGTTTAGATTCTGCCAAAATTTGATGAAAGACCTGAATTTCATAGAAATATCATCTTCAGCGATAAAGCTCATTTTTGACTTAATGGCTTAATGGTTAATCACAAAGAGTGAACATGTGATGTGGATTTCATGACGAAGATTTGGTTTGAACATATTTTTTCGGCAATAAAAATGATCGCAATGTCACGATCAAGCAATAAGTTCATTATCGTGCCATGTTGCATGACCATTTTTGGCCAGAATTAAATGGAAATGGCAACAGTGGTACCTGGTTCCAACAAGATGGTACTTCATGCCACACAGCTTGTTAAACAATTAATCTATTGAAGAGAATGTTCAGTAACTCGTGAAGTTGAATAGGTGGTGGCTATTCAACATTATTATATTGCTCATGCATAATTGTTGTTACTTTGAAAGAAATTTTAGCATATTGAGGTGTGTGAAGATGTTACAATGACTGGCTAGCGAGAAAATATAAGAAAGAAGAAGCGACTGAACCGCAAATAGCCAGTTTACAAATTTTAACAATCTGATCTAACAAAACCATTTCATATCATTAGTACATGTAGAGCATTTTGGGCTATTTAAAAAAAATATGGAAGTTCACAAACATGTTAAAATACATAGAAATCGTTACAGAGTGTATAATAGCGCAAACAATGAAGAATACAAAGAATGAACCAGTTGGAAGAATAATGAAAGATATGTTTTTGGATCACCAACTAAAATTATATCTAACCGAGGAAAAGCGTTTACCTCAAAGAAATAATGCTATAAGATGAACCAAAGTGCATTAGTAATAAGACGTGCCAGTGCCATAGATCATCATAATAGTATTTTATCTACTACTGCTTGGATAAGTCATCATTACCACACTCATTTGAGGTGATTTGAGTTACGTAATGAAGTTCATTACCGCACTGGTTTCATTACGTAACGCATTTCTAGCCCAATCAAAACAGACTTAATTTATTGAAACGAGCAACAATACAAAAGGAAAAGTGCTACCTATTTAAAGAGAAACAATACTATTTATTATAAACATTAATTGTTATGGTTTTACATTTCGAAACACTTCTTCCAGATGAGTAAACATGTTATTGAAACTGACATTCATTCAAAATTGTCAACAATCATTTCAATAGTTATTTATATTACAAGTGGGCTAGAAACATAATTACTGTACGAGTGTGGAGAATTGCACGACGAGGTCGTAGACCAAGTCGTGTAATCACACGAGTACTGTAATTATGCTCTAGCCCACGTGTGATATACAGCATTTTATCTACGACTGCTAAAAATTACTAATAAATCAATTTCTTTAAAAAAGTCTATTTGACATTTATAAAAATATTTTGAAATGATTGTTGACAATTTTGAATTGTCAGTTTCAACAACATGTTTACTCATCTGGAATAAGTGTTTCGAAATGTAAAAAAACAACAATTAATGTTTATAATAAATAGTGTTGTTTCTCTGTAAGTAGATAGCACTTTTTCTTTTGTATTGTTGCTTGTTTCAATGAATTAAGTCTGTTCTGATTAGGCTAAAAATGCGTTACGTAATGAAACCAGTGCGGTAATGATCTTCATTACGTAACTCAAATCACCTCAAATGAGTGCGGTAATGATGACTTATCCAAGCAGTCGTAGATAAAATATTTTTATAAATGTCAAAATAGACCTTTTTGAAAAAGTGGATTTTTAAGTAACTTTTAGCTGTCGTAGATAAAGTGCTGTATATATCACACGTGTGCTAGAACATAATTACAGTACGAGTGTGAGTTTTTGAGTTCTTGGTGCTCCTTGTAGATCTCTTAATTCATATCCATCATGAACTAGAACTGCATGAACTATGTATGGTTCTTTGCCTAGATTCCCTAGAAGCTGGAGATTCACATTTTACCAACACCAAGTCTCCTTCCTGGTATTTTAGTTGTTCCTGATGCCACTTTATCAAATCTGTTCGTTTGTACTGTCAATTCCTAATTTCATGTAGTTCTATCGTTTTTTATATTACATCATCTTTACTTAACAATATTCTTCTTCTCCCAACGCCAATAGGAAATGTTCTTGTAGAGCATTTCAACTCGTATGGTTACACGACTCGGTCTACGACCTCGTCTTGCTATTCTACACATTCGTACTGTAATTATGTTTCTAGCCCACTTGTAATATAAATAGCTATTAATGAATCAATAACTGTATTTGCGTGAAATAATGATGAAGACGTATGAGATTGGTATAAAGTTTTGTGACCTCGATTTAAAATCCGCCACCTTATCGCGAGTTACCAAAGGCACAGAATAACCAGAAGTGATACTGACAACTTCTTGGCAACTCGCTGG